TAAGTCCGCAGAAGATCAAAGTTTTTCTCAAAAGTACCATGGGAGACAGTGTCCTTCCCAAAGAGTGAGGACGCCATGAGGCTGCTCGACTGAAAGCAAACAAAGTATGACATTGTTGGCCAAATGGCCTATTAAAGAATTTTTAGGTATGATTAAAAAAAAGAAAAAAAAAAGAAAAAAAAAAAAGAGGAGGAGAGTACTCTCTGTGACCTGCACTTCAATATCGTTGTGGCCCGATGGACCACAGATTAGATATTAAACTGATTAGAAAGGTATAGTGGCCGAGAAAGGTATAGTGGCCGAGAAAGGTATAGTGGCCGAGAAAGGTATAGTGGCCGAGAAAGGTATAGTGGCCTGCACTTCAGCGTATCGATCCTTCTGATTTCGTTAGCTGACGTGGTGGGCTTGCGCACCCCAGTTCACACGAGCCTAAGGGCCAGATCCCACTGACGAAGAGGATTGGAATAAGCCTCCGAATCTGGACGTATTTGTGGAGAGGTGCAAACAATTGTGATTGAACTTTTTTTCTGCATCTCTGTGTGGAACACGTCCAGATTCATCCACTTATTCCAATCCTCTTTGCCAGTGCGATCTGGCCCTAAGGCCCTAGGGCCTCGCGCCGCTACTCTCCACATGCACAAAGGACAAAAAATATGGGGACGTACCTTTCCATGTTCCAAGGGAAGGTTCATTCGCATTTTGCACTTTTGGTGAGTGATGGACCGAGGCCCCACACTCACCCGGGTAGGCCCATTTTGCACGTTTGACGAGTGCTGGAGCAAGGCCCCCACTCACCCTACAGTAGAGGCCCTTACGGTAGCAAAACATGAAATCAGAGGTCGGATCCCGTCCTCGTGAAATGGAGGCTTCCATCTGGCTGCTGAATTTGAGATTCTGCAATTGACGGGCCAGATTCCGCCCTTGTGAAAAGGAGGCTTGGATCTGGGCAGATCCCGTCCTTGTTTTTTTTTTTTTTTTTTTTTTTTGTGTGAAAAGGAGGCACCCCGTAATACCCTACCCCCCCGTATACTCTCACGCTGACGAAATTGACGAAGTTGAGAATTTGGCTGATATCAAATGTAGGACAAAAAAAAAAAAAAAAAAAAAAAAAAAAAAAAAAAAAAAAAAAAAAAAAAAAAAAAAAAAAAAAGAAGAAGAAGAAGGAAGAAAAAAA